ATCATCTCGGTGGCACCGTTGACGGGCATTTCCTTCATCATCTCGGTGGCGCGGTTGACGGTGGGGGAGTCGGTGGGCATTTCCTTCATCATCTCAGTGGCGCCATTGACGGGCATTTCCTTCATCATCTCGGTGGCGCGGTTGACGGTGGGGGAGTCGGTGGGCATTTCTTTCATCATCTCAGTGGCGTCATTGACGGGCATTTCCTTCATCATCTCGGTGGCGGCGTTGACAGTGGGGGAGTCGGTGGGCATTTCCTCCATCATCTCAGTGAAGCTGTTGATGGGCATTTTCTTCATCATCTCGGTGGCGCCGTTGACAGGCATTTCCTTCATCATCTTGGTGGCGGTGTTGACAGTGGGGGAGTCGGTGGGCATTTCCTTCATCATCTCGGTGGCGCTGTTGACATGCGTTTCCTTCATCATCTCGGTGGTGCCCTTGACAGGCATTTCCTTCATCATCTTGGTGGCGGTGTTGACGGCAGGGGAGTCGGTGGGCATTTCCTTCATCATCTCGGTGGCGCTGTTGACATGCGTTTCCTTCATCATCTTGGTGGCGCCGTTGACAGGCATTTCCTTCATCATCTTGGTGGCAGTGTTGAGGGCGGGGGAGTCGGTGGGCATTTCCTTCATCATCTCGGTGGCGCCGTTGATGGTGGGGGAGTCGGTGTGCATTTCCCTCATCATCTTGGTGGCGCCGCTGATGGCGGGGGAGTTGGTGGGCATTTTGTTCATCATCTCGGTGGCACCATTGACAGGCATTTTCTTCATCATCTCAGTGGTGCCGCTGTCGGTGGGGGAGTCAGCAGGCATTTCCTTCATCATCTCGGTGGCACCCTTGACGGGCATTTCCTTCCTCATCTCGGTGGCCACTTGGTCACTTGCGCCAGAAGGTGTTGGTTGCAGTCTGGCTGATGAGCAGAGGGAAGTCAGAACGAGAAGTCCCAGCAGTCTCAACAACATCTGCAGGAAAAGGAGAAAGATGATGCTCGGTGTTTTCGAATTCCCATGTTTAAGCAGTTCTCCAAAACCAAGTGTCATTATAATATTTTCTATATAATTTGTCATTTTGAGACTTGCTACAGCATACTGACACTCATCTCTGGATATGGTTTTGAATAAAATAATTTGAATGGAAACACCCACAATGATGTCATCAAACTGGAAGAAATGCATCTCATTCACACTTGGCACCAGTGTTTTCTACCAATTAAATTTTGCTCAATGCTTCAATCTACACATAGACATAAATCTTCATCTTTGTTGATCAGATTTCATATCTGATTAGTAATGCATCTGAGGAGTTCCAGCTGCTGAACACATCTGAAGACAAAGCACTTCTACACAATGAAAGCAACGGTCAAGATAGCTTTAGCACAAACAGGGGATGACCTGCCCTGAATCAGAATTTAGTCTGAAGTATCACATTTGCACAAAAGAGCAGAAATGGAATATCTCAAAAAAAAAAAAAACTACCCCATTTTTTATAAATATTTTTATTCTTGTTGAAAGTGCTTTTACATTTTTGCAAAAAAAAAAAAAAAAAAAAGCTTCATGGGTGATGGAAACAAGTTTTCTGAATTTTTTCTGACCTTGTGAATATTTAACTCACATGAATGATCGACTGTCTGTGCTTCTTCTATTATTTTTGTACCCAGACAGCTATGCAAAAACACAGCTTTTGTGTCTGACTACAGTAAATCACCCAACAGCATGCAATTTATAGTGGCTGCTGCTGCTCGGTCATATTGTAACCTGTTTTTCAATTTTGAACCAATGTCACACAAAGGATACCCACAAGGACACTTTCTCAAAGCCTTGATTTTACTTCCTTGCAGATGTGAACATAGACAGCTTCATTCAGATGCATAGTTGTTACTTGTGTACTTACTTTTCTTGTCCACGGGGGGACATGCACATAATAGAATAGAACTTTATTAATCCCCTTGGTGGAAACTTCAGGGAAATTGCTGATTATATCTGTGTAATCCTACATGCACTAAACTGCCAATCATGCAGCCCAACCTGTTGCTCTTGTAGTGTAGTCACACTGACACAAATTTTAAGCTACACATGCAGGGCTCCGCAAGGGCTCTTGTGGACTGTAAGAGGACGAAATTCTCATTATGTTGATTCTGCTTATAAGAACGAAAAGTACAACACTGGCCTGAAAGGAAAAGGCTCAGCGAGTAACAAGAGTCTTACTCCACCTCAGGCTTCTCCCATCAGTTAGCACTCGTTGGATGAAGAAATGCTCGGCTGGAGGGATCTGAGTCGAATGTCAACGGACATTTCTGAAACATTGACTTTCAGCGTGAATGTGGGTGAATCGTATTACAGTTATTTTGGATGCATTTACTTTTTATGTAGCTCTCAGATCCACTCATGAAGAATGAAGTGACTCTATGTAAATGTTGTCTGAAGCCCTGTTTGCACAGGACAAGTATTACCTTCGGACCTATTGTACTGTCTGTGATCTTATTCCTTTGCAAATCTGCCACATCAGTAATTTATTGAAATTTCACTGCAAATTATGTATATAAAGACACATGAAGTGTAACTGGGGTCTACCCTCAGTTTCGACTTTAACATTCATGCAGATGTGTTTTTACCTGTATCAGTGAGCTTCTCTGATTGCTGCTTTGATTTGCCGCGACTACAACTAAATCCTTCATCCTTCATCAGCCTGATCAAACTCTTGCTCTCCTTTAGGTCTACGCTGTAATCGTTGTGTAAAAAAGGAGAAACATATGGCTTTTAAAAACAGACTAAAACTCTATTTTCCATACAGACAACATAGAACTCTGTTGTAGTGCTAATTTCAGCATGTAGGGCTTAAGGAACAGTCAACACATCGTCTATGAGTTTTTCCAAAATGCACCTTTTATATTCACTGATCAGTTCAAGATAAAAAACAAAAAAACATATATGAGATGCAAAAGCTTGAATTTTTCAAACCTTTTCTCTTTTTTTTTCTTTTTTTTCACAATTTTTTCTTTTAACTTCTAGTCAAACATTCTCTTAGACTTGAGAATAAATTCCTCTGAGTTGCTTCAGGAAAAACTCACCGCTCCGTCTGAGTTGTGCAGCATCCTCGGGAGAATCTTTTTTGGGAAGATGACCTGGATCAAAGAATTTATAAGCTTCGCCCAAAACAAAACTTCTTTCAGGTTCCATCTCACCCATCGGGCCCACAGACAAAGGCTGACGATGGGGGGAGCCAGGGGAGGCGCATCGCCATTGTCCCGCTAAAGAAGAACTGGGCCTTCTCCTGACCATGAAACAGCAAAAATATATTCAGAGCCGAAAGGAGAGACACTTTATCTGTTTATCGTTCCATTGTTCTCCACCCTTCTTTTTCTCTCATCCTTGGAAAAAAAAACAAACATTGTCTTTAACCTTTTCCTGTCTCCTCTCTGTTTACAATTACTTACAGTCTCCGGAATGTTCTTTCTCATTGGTTTCGATCAGTTTGGAGTCCAACATTTTGCACCAACACAGGAGATTAATTTTCCCCAAGGACTTCCAGTAGTTTCCCCTCAGAGGAAAAACTTCTGAAATAGCTGTTAAACCATCAGAGACGATGAATTCTAAACGAAGTCCCAACGGGAGGATAAATCTGGATATTTTCTAGGGTTATTTGAAAAAAAAAAAAAAGTTTCCCTCTGGCTCCATCAGAATCACCTCTGTTTTATGTACAATACCTTCAGTATCTTTAATGAAGACATGGAAAGTTTTACCTTCACATGATGAATATGAGTTTCAGGCCCTCAAAGTACAGATGGTCCATATTGGGCACTTTTTAAATCAAGTCACTTTTTACAGCATTTTTGAGCCCTGATGACAGAATAAGTGCAGGAGATAGCCACATGACAGCGCGTTTAGTTAAAAACTGCAACCAAATTCATTTTTTATTCACTCTCAACAATTTGCACTTTATACCAGGATTTTTTCCATCATTTCTGAGCCTCATTATTTCAGTCCAGCAGATAGACACATGGAAATTCCGGGGCTGAAAAATACATTTAACTTCTGTTAAAAACTGCAACCAGATCAGTTTTATATCCATCAGTTTTTTGTTGTTTTTTTTTTTTTTTCTATAACCAACTTTGAGTATTAATATTATGGGATGTATCATAGTGTGAACAGTAAAACTGCAGCAGTTTAACATCTATGACACAGAGTCATAGAAACAATCATTGGTACTCTGTATGTGTTTCTATTTTCTGATCATTCACCAGAGAAAGCTTTAAAAAGTGCATTCTGGGTAAACTTTCAAGACTCATATCAGCATGTGTGATGGTGGTTGGTCAGAACAAGTTCTAGACAATGAAAGGATCATTTTGATACCAGGCTAATTTTCTAGACAGTAAGAATAATTTTCTAATGTAGGCACGTTTTGATGCTCGAAGATGTAAAATTTGAGATTGTATTTACTCAATGAATTAAAACAATATTAATGTGAGATTTTGTCTTTAGACTGTGGCACCTGGACTGAATGTAAAATGAATGTGGTTGCAGTTTTTAATGAAAAATGTGTTTTTATGTGAGTATATCCTGCACTTAATAACTTATCAAGGTTCAGAAATACTGCACAAAATAACACAAATGAACAAGTTCCCCACCTGGACCCTCCTCTATGTACTTAAAGGGCCTGTAACTCTGAAAAGCTTCATAGTGTGAAGGTAAAACTTTGTGTGACTTCAATAAATATTCTGAAGCAGTTGTACAAAAAAATCAGCTGAAACTGAGGGGTCAGAAATCTTCAAAAACATCTCATAAATACTAATTTAATTGAAACAGCTGCTTAATGTAGTTTTTATGAAGTGTTGGGGACTATTTGCAGCTGCGTATTAATCCACAATAATCCACCTCTTTGGTGTTGCAGCAAGACAGTGTTTGTTGAACTGAGTCAAAATAAACTGCAATGTGTGTTCACGGTGAAGAAAGAACACAGCAGCCAGTCCAACAGTATGACTCACTGATGGGCTTTTAGAGCATCTGGACAACAATGAGGCCCTAGAATACAGATGGATATTTAATAATACACATATGATAATATTGTAAATAATCCAGCTATGATCCTCCAGCACAGGAACAACATACAGCTCGGTTCTGATTTAAAGACTCTCCCTGTAATTATACTTTACAGTGTAATTCATTTGCCAAAAAAATTGACGAAAGACAGAATATGAAAATGTCCTGAATTCAATGTTAACTATTTGGGAAAGGCTTGTGAAAGGTTTGGTGCCTGTTGCACAGGGTGCCATCTATTATTAGTTGGGTGAAAATGCCAGTAAAGCCATGAAATACGTACTGTTTCTGAGTCATGCTGCATTTTTTTGTTGATCCAGTGTGTTTTATTTTCGTCTTTGCTCTGTGGAAATACAGTCTGCAATTTAACTGAAAAACTCAGTCGTGGAGAATCCATTGTGCTGAGGAGCTCAGAGTGTTTATTTTTTGCATTTCTTTAAATAAAACCTGTGGAATTAACGGATTTTAATGAAATATTATTAATTTTGTTTAGATTTTCTGGTGGAACTCTTTCTGATTTTACAGTTTCTGACTGATAAATAATCACATTTTGGTTATTTATTTATTTATTTATTTTAAAAGATAGCATGACTTTGAAACCTAGTGGTTGGTTTTGGGTTTTATAATATTTCTTCTTTCAAACCAAGACTCACAGTGCGATAATTGTTGACCATTATATTGGCAAAGATGCATTACGTCACAGAGTTTGATGAAAAGTTGTATTTTAATTCAGTTTTAATTTATTTAATATTTTCAGTAGACAAAGCATGTTTAATGATCATTTTAATAAATTCTTAACAATAACTTCATTGCACAGAGAAGTACAGCTTCATTCATCTGGACTCTTTTCATAATGAAAACCTACAGCCCACTACTGCAACACCTAGTTAGCTGGTTCCAGGCTAACTATGCTCCAGACATGAACGTGGTCGTATCACTTTATAAGGCTTCCTCATGAATGTAGATGAAGTTATTAGCTTTAGGAAATTGTTGCACATGCTGTGTAACGTGAACAGGACAACAGAGTTTTGACTCAGTATAGCTGGTAACAACAACCTCAAGTCAAAAAACACAAAAACAAAAAACCAACAAACAAAAAAAGACCACATCAGTTCAGTCACACTCAGGTCACAGTCACAGCGTTCTTTCTTTTCAATCTTTCTTTTTTTTTTTTTTAAGATATTTTATGAATTACAAATTAAACATGTATTTTATTCATTATATACTGTGGTGCAAGGTCAAGCACTGTTACTTGAGTTCCACTGGTTGTGCAAATTCAGCCATTTTTATTGATTTTCCATTTTGTAAATCATGTCACATGATGCAAAATCCCACCTTACAAATTTTAACAGGTCATAGAAGCTTACATTGTACCTTCAAGACGTAGTTCATCAAATAGAAATTGAAAAATTAGACTTGCGTGTAAAATCAGATGATTTTCATCAGAAATGTGGAATTTTTTCAGTCTTTAATCTTATTTCGGAAAACAAGCCTTGCAGTTTGCGACTCATCAGACACTTTTCATGTAGGATTTTAAAGTGAGCTAAATCTTGTTAATAAAATGATTTACCCATGATTCTCTCAGTGCTGCATCTTCAGTCTTCTTCACTCGGCCACATCTCGTTTCCCTTTTCTTCCTTACCTGCTTGTGAAACTTTTTAGCTAATCAAACCTTTGTATCAACTGACTTTTGATGATTTATTTTCTGTCACACTATATTCACCTCACAGTCTCGGTGGTTCCATCAGTACACTGATTAAAAGCAGTTACAGGAGGAGGAAACATGGTTTTGCCAAATTTATTTTGGATACAAACAACTAAACCAAATTGCCTCTGGATTGGATTGTTTGCCTGACTTGTATTTGAAAATAGCATTGTTGCATTCAGGGTTAAAACAAGGAACAAAACTACAACAGTTTGAAGATCATGTTTTATACTGGTACTCTTATGCTTACATTAGCAAAACATTGCATTTGTCACTATTATTCTGGTAACATGGAGATAAATGAGCAGCTGGAAACAGCCTTAAAGCACTGAAATGAAGCTGAACACATACAATCTGTGTGAATCGACCAGCAGAATGAACAAAAGCTGGAGGTAAAAAAGGTAAGCAACACATTCCCATTCGGAGCCAGAAAAACCCTGCAAAGCTGTTACTCATAGCACATAAAATGAATTAATGTTCAAATGATGTCAGAGAGAGGGCTGTAGATGTTTTAATCTATTTGCCAAACTTCAGACACCATCACTTTTGCCAGAAAAAAAAAATGTAGAAGCTCTTCTGATTGGAGCATCTGCTTTAGTTGCAAAGGTTTTGTTTTTCCTTCTCTTTTTGTGTCCTCAAAATGTGAAAAGGTGAAATGGTAAAAGCTCTAAGGCAAATCTTCAGCAAGCTGATATCAAGGATTAAAAAAATAAATCTCCTCTGAAGTTCTAAAGTATTTTTAAAATTTTTTAACATTAGAGCAGCTTTGAATTTCTGTGATCTGGCAGTTTATAAATGTGAACACATGATCAGATGTAGCCCGGTCAGACTTTCCTGCCTTGAAGAGATGCAGTGTTGAATAAAAAGTGAATTTATCTCCACATTTAAAGAGGAGTAGCCCTGTGATAGACTGGTGACCTGTCCAGGGTGTCCCTTGCCTTCACCCTAAGTCAGCTGGGATAGACTCCAGCCCCCTGTGACCCTAGTGAGGATTAAGCGGTGTATAGATAATGGATGGATGGATGGATTTAAAGAGGGAGTATTTTTAGGGTAAGAATCTACGTCATTTTTTTCTCCAAGCAGTTGCTTGGGTTCAAGAATTCTAACAGCTGGTTGTTTATTAACACACACACACTGCAAAAATACAGCATCAAGCTTTGTCTATAATTTACTCCTAAAACCCATTTTTTCATAGAAAATTTGGGTAATATTGCAATGCAGTAATCATGTGTTTCCATGTTTTAAATATAGGTTACATTTTTCAGTTTAAACTGTTAAAAAAAAACTGAATTTACTACAGAGAGACTAAAACTTGATTCACATTTTTGCGTGAAGGAATGTTCTTGTTTTCAAACCTCTACCACCACTGTGTGTCGACTCAATCAATACCAACATTTTCTCCCTTTTCCACTGTGAACTTAAAGTTTGGTAAAAGCAGCATTTACTCGCTTTAAGTTCTATGTCGTCCACTTCTTCCAGCTGCCATTGACAGAATTACATGAAGAAACCAGACAGCAACTTCCACGTTGAAAAAATACAGCCAACATGGAGTGTGCCGAGAACTGCAGTTCCTCAAATGTCCACTTGAGGCAGGCTCTAAAAGCAAGTTCGTCCCCCATATACCTCCATGTTAAAATGTCAAATTTTACAGCAGAAATGAACACGTTTACAACCTGAAACAAAAGACAGTTCTGGACTGTGTAGCTAATTTTCACAGTCTTGACAACTTTGTCAGGAGTAATTTACATATATATATATATATATATATATATATATATATTGTACATTTAACATTTCTTAAGGCTCGAAGTTATACACAACTAGATCATGGCCACTTTGAGTGATATGTGGATGCCATCATAGGATAGTGCATGGACCACCACAGCTTCAATCATACTTCACCCTTCTGTTCATTTTTGGATCAGCCAGGAGTTGGGGGAAATTATGCTGTGTCAAGATGTCAACAGGTGAAACCACCACACATAAGTTCAAAACGGCTCTTTGGAAAATTTAAGGGTGGCATCGCAGAGGGTTTGTCCATCTATGTATGGAGTCTGTATAAGAAATTTGACTTAGTGACACAGAAACAACAGTGAAGAGTACCAACTACACAACATGCACATCACCAAAGTGACTTCTCTGACAGAAAGCTCAATTCCAAAAGTGGACAATGCTGAATCTCTTGAATACCCCTCCTTTAAAACTTTGTTGTGGATGCTTTTTCTATAACTGTGCGACAGACTACAGCCTAATTTGGAGGAGGTGTGGTGTTGCCATTCCAGCTGTAGGTTCCAGGAGTTGGGGGCGGCATGTTGGGAGATCGACCCGAGATAAATTCACAGGAGTCGGGGTGCAGCAGAAACCCAGAGAATGTGCTGGTGTATTCTTTGTCAGTGTACATGCCATTGGTGTCGTTGTTCTTGACTTGCATCCATACCCGGTCTCTCATCACAAGATGGAGGACAACCTTGTGGCTGGTGGTGGATGGGTAGGTTCCTTCTGTCACTTTGACTTTAGGATAGAAGTTGTGGAAAATGCCAACTTTAAGTGGCTTCTTGGCAACTGCAAGGTGGAAGAAGAAGACATAGGTACCGTTGACAGGGGCCGTGTAGATACCCATTGATGGGTCAAAGTGCCCCTGCTGGTTGGTGAGAACACGTGGGAAAGAAATTGGATAGTCAGGAGCGGGATATGACTCGTTGGTAGATGCTGAGAATGCCGACTGGATGAAAGGGGAGCAGGGACCACGTGGCCCCATGACACCCATATCACCCTGGTTGCCTTTTGGCCCCATGACGCCCTGTTCACCCTTTGGACCAGTGTCACCTTTGGCCCCCATGTCACCTTTTTCTCCTGACATTCCATCAGCACCGTCCGCCCCATCAGTGCACTCACACATTCCCTGCTCACCTTGATCCCCCTTCTGGCCATTCATACCAGATTCCCCAGGTTTACCTAAGTCCCCCTTGTCCCCCTTAACACCCTTGGGTCCCTCAGATCCCTTCATCCCAGGCAGGCCCTGAGCTCCTACTAGTCCAGTTGGGCCTTGTTCACCTGGTTCACCTGGGACACTGTCACAAGTGGCTGGACATGTGCCGGCTTCCCCCTGGGGGCCCTCTGCACCAGGGTTCCCCATAGATCCTTGGTCACCTTTTTCTCCTGCAAGCACACAGAATACACATCATTGCATTATTTTTGATTTTGTGGTAAAAATTCAAAACATTTGTTTTTCCAGGATATCTTTGGGTGATGCTGTCTCCCACACCGATGACAAATTCCCCAAATGAATCTTAATACAAACTGCAGTCTTTCCCCAATTGAGTAACTCTTGTGCATAAACTGAACCAAAACTTAGTGATTTTGGATCATAAAAATTGCTATTTTGGAAACTGTGATTTATAACATTCTTGGTAGGTTGTCCATGTAGCGCTAATAACCATTTAAACCGAGGGCTGAGCCACATAATATGAGCTCAGCAGACCTTTGAATCCTCGGTCTCCCTTTAATCCGTTGAAACCAGTTATGCCAGGCATTCCTTTGTCCCCAATGTCTCCTTTCTGACCTGTAACAAGAAACAAAAATGAAATAAGACATGAACAATATTTAGACATGCTATTAATGTCCTGAATAAATAGTCAAATTGTAAGGTCAATAAATTACTTAATTTTGAAGATTAATTTAAAGGGAAAACATCCAGACTTGATTTTCTGTAGTTAGAATGTAGCTCTCAGTTTTGCCCTGCTTCCAGTCTTTGATCTATACGAGGCTAATGAAGTACAAAACCTACAACTGCTTTATAAAGTATGACCCTCAGAAAAACTAACCTCATCTTTTTCCTCATCAGTCTCCACTAAAAAAACTCAAAGTGAAAAACTGACTACAGTAGTCAGACTCTTTGGGGCTCTGTATTGGGTTTTATTTATCTTGTTTGCTTTAGTTATTCTTCACAGGAATCAGTCCAGTTAAATTTAAGAACTAAACCCCACAGATCATCCGTCGAGGAACTTTAAGTTCACAGATGCTTCTGCCTAGGGGTTAAATCAGTTGTTGTCGTTACATATTAGGTATTTCTGGTGTTGTACCCACATAACTGGGCATTAGGTGATATGGCCGTATGTGTTAGTTTGTCAAGCCGTACACTGACAATGTCCAATGTTAAATGAACCTATCGCTGAACAGACCAAAAATGCAAGAACAGGACTGAGGTTTTGTCATGTTTGTTGTCGTCACTAGGGCAGTGTTGAAGAGTCCTGGATGTGTAACTCACCCTTCATCCCTTCAGGGCCTGTAAATCCTCGAAGACCTTTGAAGCCGGTCAGTCCTTTTCTCCCAGGACTCCCAGGTTCACCTGATCAAAGGTGACAGTCAGGTCAGTTTGAACACAGCCTTCTGGAAACACTCTCAGAATTCTAGAGGTTATATTTGAAGTTATTTCAGGCTAGAAATATGCCTTTGTAGATGCTCAGTCATTCAGGTCATGGTAATCCAGTTTCAGTAAAAAAAAAAATTTACTGAACTTCTCATTTAGAGATGGTTCTTCAGTTCTGAACTGAAGAAGCCTCCTGAATGAGAGGTGAAACGCCTTCAAGATCCTAAAATAGAAGTATATCCGCCTTTTACTGAAGCTCCTAAGAGTCCAGACCAGACAGTGTTGCAGGAGCTTGACTTTTTTGACATCTTGCTTGCATCGCTACAAGTCTGTCACATGATCAGTGGTCACTGTGCCATTGTCTGTGCTGGTAATATTAGATCAGACCTGTGATGCACTAAGATTAACTAGCTGACAGATAATAGTAACAATTATTGTTGATGCATGATGCTTTAAGTAACTTGGGTCAACCCAAGTAATTTGAGTCCTTAACTCTCTGAAACCCCAAACCAAAAATGCATTTTATCTTTCAAAAATCGCCAAATAACTCACAGTATTTTTTTTTTTTAAAGCCAGAAATTGTAAAAATAGAAAATATTGTAGGATTTATAACATTCAGATGGTTCTTTACAGTATCTTGTGATGTGGTACCAACAGAAAATGCAATCAGATCTCAGCTTAAAACCGTGACCTTTTATCAAATCCCTTTTTTCTACATGTCTCGTATAAGAATATACCAAAAATAAAACATTTTTGCTAGATTCTGTACAAAGCAAAGAAATCTGAACTCCTCGGAGCAACTGAGAAGCCACAACTGATGCGGCTGCATCCGACGAACACATGTGCAGTTGTCAGCTGAACTGCAGGCTGTGTTTAAACAGAGCAGAGAGGAGACAAGTATAGAAACAGATTAAAGGTGTACTTGGGCACTTAGGACAAAAAAGTCAGCTCTTTTTTCCTTTTCTATTGATGAGCCACAGTGAGGAAAAATGTAAGAGTAGCCAAAAAATGCCCAGAAAATGCTTAGAGTTCAGAGAGTTAAGTCTGACAAAACTGACACCTTTTACCCATAAAGTCACACAGATTGAGAGCAAATCTTGTTTTCAGGCCCTGAGGTTTCTTCATTTTTCACAAGGATTTTAAAATGATAAAATACAGTATTTTACCTCTGTGACAGTCACCTGTTTTCTTCTCCTTCTGATGACTGTACCTCTTGCTGTCTACTTCTTCCTGTCTGAATGAGTCCTGCTAACCTAGTTTTTTTTTTTTTTTCATTCGTGTTCTCGTGTTTGCGGTGGTTTACATTCAAATGTGTGTCATGTTCTTGCCCGCTGGCCATCATACGTGGTTTACTGCAGTCATGTGAGGAGGCCTCACCTCTCACTGTTTAAAGGAACCACAGGGTTTATCAGTTTCAAGATGAACCTGATTCGTAAAACAAGAAAAGCCATGAACTGTTTTCTTAACCGATGTTTGAGATGAGAGTTGTGACAGTGTCATCTACTTTTTGCATTTTTTGTTGCTGATTTTTCCAAAACGCTGGACTGAAAGTTATTTTAAAAATTACTTCAAAACTATTTTAATAGTCTGGGGCAAACTGAACTGAAGTGGTGGGCTTAACTTTTTAATTAGTAAATATAAAACTGCCCAGTTGATTGCTGATACTAAGACAAACTTTTTTTTATTTAAATATGCAAATGAGGCACTTGCGTATCTAAAAATCTCCAATTAGCATTAATATGCAGAACCAGAGTCTAAAAACACCAGATTCTACATTTGTGTTCATTTTGTTGACACATTTTTAGAGGGTATTCTGGTTATCAGGTTTTATCACTCCATGTATCAGAAAATACTGTCACCAGCCAGAACAAAATATCAGCTTTCACTATGTTTTTAGAAAATAAAACATTTCATAAATCAGGCTGTGACTGATATATAAACAAACTTCTCTGCATAAAGCCTTTTGAATGTAGACTAGAATGAACCTGGGAAGTTTGTGAAAGCTGCTGAAGTGGAGATTCTTGGATCAGATTAGGAGGAAAACTATAATTTAAGAGAACAGCCAGTAAATATGTTATAATTGAAATTTAGGGACACCATTTTTTTTTAAAAATGTAAATTAAAAAAACAGCTCACAACTCTGAACAAAGTCGTTTTACGCAAGTAAAATACCTTAGAAAATGACCAGTGCATTAAAAAAAGTATATGTTTTTGCCTGCAGTTTCTTGCCTTAAACAGAAATGTTTGCGTGAATTATGAGACAAATTGCAGATGTGTTTGATTCACTTCACTTCAGACATGACAAAGCAACCATAAAAAAAAGCTTGATATCTGGATGTAACAAAAACAAAAGCCTCCTGCTGCTGCTGTTGGAGGGTTTTGCACTAAAACTCAAACAGATCATTTCAGGTGTTTAAAGTGGTCTACATGCCTGGAAGGCCTCGGTCTCCTCGATCTCCTTTGGGCCCCACAGCTCCTTTACACTTCGAACAGATGCAGAACAAAGGGATCTGGTCGATGGGCGGCGGTACCGGTAAGTTGAACAGTATGTCGCAGATTGCTGTGTTGGGCATCGGAGGCCCAGAGGGGCCACCAGGCCCAACCATCCGAAGCATTTCAGTCATGTTGTCATCAGATGGCCACGGCTGACCTCTGGGATCAATCAGCGGGGAGCCGGTGGGTGGCCAGGGGGGCATAGTTTCTGATCCAGTCCAGTAGATGGTGTTGTTGTCAGAAGTCGAGCTTCTTTCTGTGCTGAACTGGGGATCGGTGGTGTTTGGCAGCAGCATGGCCGAGCAGAGAGATTTCAGGACGAGGAGTCCCAGCAGCCTTGACAACATCTGCAGGGAGACAGAAGGATGATGATGGGAGTAAGACCACTTCAACCTGTTTTACAGTACGAGCAGTCGCTCACATTGCTGCTTAGCTAATGCTACTCCCTTAACGATCAATTAGTCAGTAGCCGTGTTTCCAAATAACTGTCAAGAACATTTTCAGTGAACTTAAAGTTGCAAAAAATTAAAACACAGAAAATACAAATTAGGCTTGTTTCCAATTGTTAACCTTTCACACTCCAAACCACACTGGAAAAAATAAAATTGCCTAAACTGCACCATTTATCAGAGCCAGAAATTGTGAAAACAAAGAGAATTTTCAAATTTTTCAGCTTTGCTGACAGTCTTTGAACTTATCATCTGTGACATGTGATTCCATCAGGAAAAGTCTATCAAATCTATGCTTGAAAATGTGATATCTATTTGTTTGTATTTCAAAATCACTTCTTTTAACATCTTATTAAAAAATTCCCCAAAATATAACCTTTTGTCTAACCAGATTTTCACACAGAAAAAAAACTCTGTGCTTGTCAGTGCAACTTGGATGTTGTAGCTTATTCAGCTTTGACTAACATTACCATGACATAAAATTAGAGGCTTTTGACTGAACAGCAGGCAGTGTTTACACCGAGCAGAGAGCCGACGAGTATGTAAATGAATTATAGAATACAAGCAGTGAAATATCTATGACATGTAGAGCCACCATTTTTTCCCCTTCTAGGTTTTTCAAGGTTTGCAAAATAAGTAATCAAAGGTATTCAACTTTTGTTTTTTTGTTTTTTTATGATTTCTGTCATTCTGCGTCATGCTGATAGAAGACATTTCTGAGTTGTCCCTCCTTCTTCACCAAAAAAATTAACCACAGTGAGTAAAAAAACAAAAAAACAAAAATATGACAACAGCAAAAAGCACTTAGAAACTGTTTAGAGTTCAGAGAGTTAAAAAATGTGCATTAAATATGTTCTGAAATCACAGCATGTGGTTGAACTGATCAGGCATTAGATAAATGCTACAACACAGTAATTCTGCTCATCCTGTTTTGCTCAAAACCTGATCTTTACCTACTTTTTCCTTCCTTCTGCAAACCACAGCTGCTTCAAAGAGTTTTCAGCATGAGCTTCACGTTGCTATCCCAAACCCAGGAAACTGCCTTGATTTATAATTTCATCCTTTATCTTCATGCATATGAGTTTTCATCCGTAAAAGTCAACTCAGCCACAAATAGTAAAACAAATATTTCAAATTTCAAATATCAACTAATCCCAGTATGTTCATACCCTCATAAAGGTGTTCATAAGTAGAGACTATTGATATGATTGATATGACAAGTTTTTCAGACTTTTTAAAGCTTTTTTTTTTTTTTTTTTTTTTACATTTTAAAGCTCTTTCACTGCTTTTCTTTTTCAAAAAGCTGCTCAAACAACCAGTGAAACACAATCTGCTCCCTGACTTAAAAATGAAATCCTTTGAGGTACTTTAGGAGAAACTCACCACTCCGTCCGAGCTGTACAGCATTATCTGCAGAGGCACGTTTGGGAGAAGCAGCTGGATCGAAGGGGCTTTGATGCCTTTATAAGCTTCGCTCCAAAACAACAGCGTCTTTCAGGTTCTGCCTCACCTGTTGGACAAAGGCTGAGGACGGGAGGGAGGCGTGTTGTCATTGTCCTGCTGAAGGAGAACTGGTCGTTCTGCCTGACCTCCTTCACCATTGATGCAGAAACACACCTAGAGCAGAAAGAGGAGACACTGCTCTGTTTATCGCTCCATCGTTCTCCACCCTCGTTTTTCTCTCATCCTTTTAAAGGATAAAATAAAATCTTAAGCCTCGTCGGCCCACATCTCTGTTTACACCTCATTGTTTCATTTGATCATTTTGGATTTGTCCTACATTGTTAACAAGTTCTTTGGATTAATTTCCCCACCAGCCACATACATTGAGTATTGTTTCCCTGCAAATAAGAAGCTTCTGAAACAGCAGTCCAACCCTAAACTCTAAACTGTATTTCTTAATAAATGTCTGTGTGCATTTGCTGATACTAATGTTAAAATCAGTTACTGAGTAACTCAGAACTGAGGACAATACAGGAGATACAGTCATGAACAAACTGAGTGAACATTGTGACTGACGTTGTTGGGTTTGACACCACAATGGAAACAGAAAGTCTGAAACAGCCAATTTGGGGGATGATCCTATAAACACCACTCCACGCCTGCCCCTGCTCTGGAAAGCTTCCTAATGCTTTTCAAATGTACACCAAAAAAGAAAGCGACTTCAATTTACATATAAAACATGTAATTGATTTTAGAAACAAAACTTCAAATCTTTAGCCTGACAGGAATTATCGGCATGATCACCGTAATAACGACAAAAATTACATCTTCCCTCATATACTACCCTGAAATGTCTTATAATAAACTGTACTTGTGTTAAAAACAAACAAACAAACAGTAAGTAATACTTAGAAACAGGAACCACTACATCAGCTTGAACAGATTGTTCCAACAGTGTCCAACACCAACGTACTAGTGTGTTTTTCTGAACTTTAGTGACAGTAACCACCAGAACATGCTGTACAAAATGAGTTATTTAGTAGAAAACCAGAATATTTATGTCCGTGGTGGACATGAATGACTTTGTGAGGGAAGGAGTAGCTTTTTTAATCCTCTAAACAAACTGCTCAGTTGGTTCAACAATACAGTAATCTAACACTGTGAAAACATCCAGCCTTTACAATGAGCAGCCTACTTTTGTCTTTTAGCACATTTTACTGCAGAGGACAATGTCTTCATTCTGTCAGAGCATCTCATGGGATCATCCGGATACATGATACTGACGAAACTAACTACACACATAAGAAAAATGATTTTTAAAAAAGATTGACACTTGTAGGCCGAAATGTAAAACCAGATTCTTTCCTCTGTTAAATGATAGGTATAACTTTAAACATGAAGTTTACAGCTTTGGCACGTGGCCATTTAAATATCTGTTCTGAATATTCTGTTTTACTGGAGGATTTGAGGACTTTCTTCACCTCCATCTCCTTTTTCCTCTCACTCCTTTCTTCTGTACGTCTGTCTTGTCTTTGTTCTTTTTGGTGCCAATGTGCGATAAGAAGTTCAGACTGTAAACAGATCTGCTTTAGACGACTCAGCTATGCTGCAGTGACTGATGATGCTCCTCAACAAAAAAAAAAAAAAGATTCAAGTCCATATCTGGCTGTTGCTTGCCAAGAAACAGTCCCAGAATGTGACGACCCAAACTGTTATCATCTGTTGGATTATGACTCTTACCGTATCGTTCCCTATTTCTCCCAGTTGGGAGCTAGATGAAGATGAAGTCAGTGTGAAAAAGCTACTGCTGTCCCCAAATGTCCACTTGAGGCTGGCTCATTGTGTTTACATTCTGGTACAGAAACGGTTTTGGTTCTTTTAGCTACTTTCCTGTTCACAACAACCTGAATCGAGGTAAAATCAGTTTTGATTGTGTTTTGTGGTTGTTACAAACTTAGAGATGTAAACTAAACTTTAAGACATTTAGTTCTGCCATCCTTCAAGGCCTCCACGACTAATTAACTTCCCAGATTTACAGGCCAGTCAGAATCTGACCCACGTTCGACCTCATACCAACCACCAGTTGCTGAGCGCTGACTTCATATAATCCTGCCTCCTCACTGCTCCCAGAGGCAAGATTAGTGAATGGGCAACGTATGTTGAGCTATTTTCAAACTGTTGCTCTGCTGCTAAAATGCTTATTTCATAATGTCATCTTACAACTAACCACACACAGGAGTTAAAATCAAAGTCTGAGTTGTGAGTTCAGCAATATTTTCATATAAAAAGGTTGTCCAGAGAGAAAGTTAGAAGATATAAAGGCCTGGTCTCACAAACTTATCTATGTCTATGTCTATCAGAGATGCAGAGAGAGTCGTCTTGCTGAAAGTTAGCTGCATGTAAAGCTACAAACATTGAAACAGCCTGTTTAGAGCAGAACTAAACCCAGGAGTCATGGTGAAATTAACCAGCTTTACTGTGCTTTGTGCTGAAAAAAGTAAAACATACATTGTGGGGACATGTAAAACCTTTATTAATTTGCCTAAAAGGGGCACAGGCAAAGTATATTTTGATTATTTAAATAATATAAATCAACTAATATGTTTTTTAAGCAGAGACAAAAACAAATAAAAAACCCTGGTTGCAACTTCTCTCCTGTTGCAATCTGTTGCTTTTCTCTGTTTTATATCACAGAAAAAGTACAATCTTTGGGTCAGAAAATCAAAGATCCAAGGAACTCATCTGGCAAAGACAGTTAAAAAAATAAAAATAAATAAATCTTTGGGTTTTGGACTATTGGTCAGACAATCTAGATTAAATTTGTTCAATGACTGACATTTTCTAAACTGAATGCTGTCTATTGGGGTCTGATTTGATAAATGTTGACTAAGTGAAATTATTTCATGCTCCTAAAAATAAAACACAAACAAAAAAGGATTAAAATTCCTGCGTGAACGACTTTTTTCAGGTTTTGTCGCGTCAAGTCATATTGTTTAAACTTTCATGCAGATTGCTTTGGAAAAGTAAATTATGTGCATCAGAATATTTTTGTTTGAAGCAGAATATCTTGCAGTTTAGGTTGTAAAAGGATGACATTAATAACGAAAAGAAATTTATCGTGGATGCCAATTTCAGCTTTTACATCAGAGCTGTTTTGTTTGCAGATGGCACTTTGCAGTCAAGAGACAAAAACACAGATTCTGTTTATGAAATGGTTTGCAGACAGTGAACAGAACAAACTGAAAACTGGACTGAACATAAAGCAGCAGGCTGCCAGCCAGTTTTGTTGAAGTCGCACCCTCGATAGCCACTTTCCCAGTCTGCGTTTTTCACCTCCTCACAGAGTCGTCCGTGGAACCAGATATGGCTCCTTTATGTCCTCAGGCCAGCTTTTATTCAGCAAA